GTCGCTGCGCCGCCTGTCCGCGTGGGCGTTGGCTCCGGTGCGCGCGGCGGCGGGGGGAGGGGGGGGGGCAGGAGGAGGGTGGGAGGAGAGGGTGGGAGGGGCGGTAGGAGGGGCGGTAGTCCGCGGGCCAGCGCTGCTCCCGGTGCCGCCGCCTCGCCGTCACGCCCCCCTCCTCCTCGGCGCAGGTGCGCGAGGAGCCGGTGCATTCGGTGCGCCTCTCGCGCGCCTCGCAGCTGCCCGCCTTTTGGGACGGGTGAGACACTCGCCAGACATTGCCGAGACCCGTGCCCGCCTCTGTGGGTCGAGAGTCGCCTCCGAGACCACTTGTGAGGAGGCCTCTACGAGGCACCCTCGAGAGAGATCGTGTCTCTCCTCCCACAAGCTCGCGCGCGCGCGGGCAGGTGCGAGCAGTTCCCGTGCGGCTGCCTCCTCTCCCTCTCCAACGAGTCGGCGCCGCCCCTCCTCTACCGCGCCCTCGCCGCCCGCCTCGGAGGCGCCTCCTCCGCAGCCTCGGCCGCCAGAGGGCCCCTTGCCTTGTCCGCTCAAGCGGCCGCCCCTCGCCACGGCCCCCAAGCTCACCGCCTCCACCACTCGCGCCCTCCGCCCCTCACAGGCTCGCCGGCCCGCTTCCGGCTCGGCCACGCGACGCGGCTCTCCTCGCACCGCGACCCGGTCGCACGCGCCGCCGGAGCGACCCGCGTGCCCGCCCTCGCCGCTCGCCGCTCCGCCTCCTCGCCGGTGGCGCAGAGCCCCGCCGCCCCGCCTCTCCGCCTCTGGCTCGGCGGCGCCCGCCGACACGTCCCGCTGTCACGTCGGACATGCCTCCGCAGGTGAGGCTCTTTGAGGGGCGCGCGGAGGTGGCCGCCGCGCTGGAGTTTGCCGAGGAGCAGTGCGTCGCCGAGCCGCGCGCCGGCGGAGGAGGCGGCGGCGCCGTCGCGAGGTGGAGGTTCGGCCAGCGGGCGAGGGCGAGGTGGGTGGGGTTCCGCAAGTGGCTGAGCGAGACGTTCTAGTGATCGCGCACCTTTTTCTTTTTGACGCAGCTCTTTCATGTTTCAAGAAACAGCCGCGCCGGGGCAAATATAAGTGGAGAGAGGAGAGTACTTGGGCACATTCTCGAGTGAGCGCTGCGTTTTTCTTTTGCCCCTCAACCTCGGACAGCAATTCTGGAGAGGTGTCGGCGCGCCTGCTCTCCTCCCCGCCCGCTCCGCCCGCCGCCGCTGCCTCGGCCCTGTGGTTGCCGCTCCCGAGCGGCCCTCCCGTTCCCGCGTGCAGGCGTGCATCTCTTCCATGCTCTCCCTGCTCGCTTGCTCCTCCACCGCGCTGACGCTCCCGCAAGGCACGGCCGCTCCCTCACCCCTCCCTTCGCCGCTTGCTCATGCGGACCGGCTCCCTCGCCCGCCCCGTCGCCGCGTGCTCCACCTCGCCCTTCTTCTCGGTCAGGCGACGCCGTCACGACGAGGCGCGCCGCCGTCGCCGGCGCCTTCACCACCGCCTTTGCTGCCGCCTCGCCGGCGCTGGCCGCCAATCCGATCTGGAAGCCCTACCCGAGGAAGCAGGGCCTCGCGAGCGACGTGCCAAAATCCGTGCAGAAGGGCTGCAAGGTGGACAAGCCGTGCTCGAAGGGCGCCGCTTTCCCGCTGTCCGACACGGACGCCGGCGCCCGCTACGCGTACCACATCAAGGCCAAGTGAGCCGCCCGACGCGCCCTTGGCGCGGGCCCCGCTGCGTCCACCGCCGCTGCCAAGCACGGCACGCGGTTCTGGGATCACGGGCTCGCGCTCTGGGCGCACAAACGGGTTGAGTCTGCTTTCCCTTTTGCGCACTGCCCGCAGAGCCGCACTTTTCCCCTGCACTTTTGGGTGTGTATGATGGGTCGCCGGTGCGTCATGCTGTGTGGGGAGCGTAGCCGCGACAAATATGTGCTCATGAGAGAAATCTCGACAATAACGACAACCCCGCACACCCCACAGTCACACACGCGGTCGCGGAGAGTCGAGAGAGAGCCAACGCACAGGAGAACAGCCGCGCCAAGAGGTCGGCGCGGCGCGCGTATGCGGGGGCCGCCGGGGCTGAGCTAGGCTAGATGAGTCTGGCTCCAGACTCGGGTGTGAGCTGTGATCCCCGGGTGCACACCTGACGCGTCTCGCACTGCCACACGGCACCTGCCTCGGCAGCACGCCACGCCCCTTGCCCCTTAGGCTCTTCGCTCTCTCGCAGACTCTCCTCACGCAATGCCATAGTACCTCAGCCAGCCCAGGATGGTGCCGCGCTGCAGCTCCCGCTCCTTCTCGGCTCTGCGCTCGAGGATGTGGCGCTCCTGGCAGCATGGGGAATATCACATGACGGGGGGGGGGCAGAGGCAGGAGCTCGACTCGCCGCTATGAGCCCGGCCCCTCCCCTCAGCAAGTGCTTGAAGGTGGTGTGAAGACAGGGAGGCGAGGGTGCGCACAGTCTCAGTGGTGTGTCTCAGTGCGCTGCCTGCCCTGCGACCACGACGAGGCGTGTAGAGAGCACGGGGGGCCGAACAGTCGCATCTACGAGACGCACCAGCAACGCCCGCCACTCCGACACCTCATTGCCCGACGCTGCGCCGCCCGCCGCTGCGCCGCCCACGGCGCCGCCCCCACTCTTGCGCATCTGCTGCGACACGCGCGTCGCCTCGCGCAGCGCCGTCGCCGTCGCCTCCCTCGCCTGCACCGTCGGCGCGCGGCTCGGATGGCGGTGGAATGCCGTCTCTCGGGCACTCCTTTCGACTACCAGATGGGCAGCCATCCGCATCTCGGAAGCCCTCACCCCCCGCTCGTACGCGTGCGCCGCGGCGCGCCGCGCGCGCTGCTCCAGGTAGAATCGGCCGAGCCGCTCGCGCAGCGGCGCGGCGACGCTGGCGCTGGCTCGGAACCAGTGCTCGCGCAGCACGACCCACGACCCGTCCGCGCCGACGGCGACGTCGAGCACTTCGCCAGCCGCGATGCTCGGCTCGCCTGGCGCGCTGCAGACCTTGTCGCCTCGGCGCGCAAGCTCGGCGGCGACCTCGCCTCCGAGGCCGGCCCACTGCGACCCCTGCGAGTCGGCAATGAAGTAGGCGCCTGGAGGAGGAAGACCGGGACGCTTCAGGGAAGCTTCCGGCGCGCGGCGTCCGCGAGCCTATGAAGATGGCGCCGCCGGGCAGCAGCCGCACGACGCCGATGGTGCCCTTTGCGTCGTGCAGCTTCCGGATCCGCTTCTGCAAGCCGGCGGCGACGTGCTCGGCGCCGCAGAAGCCGTTGTGGCCTTGCAGGATGAGCCAGCGCCCCTCGTCCCCAAACGCCACGTGCAGCCTGCTCTCGGGCAACGCTGTCCACTTGCGCAGCTGCCTCGACGCCGCAAACGCCGAGTCCCACCACGAAAAGGTGGAGGTGCCGCCGGCATCAACGCCGTGCACGAACCACTCGCCCGCCGCGCCGAAGCTGACCTCGTTGACGTGGTGGTTCTTGGTGCGCATCTTCTCGAGCTTGGCTGCGAGGGCGGCGGGGACGCCGCCCTCGCTCCACGAGCGAGTCTGCCAGTGCGCCGCGCCGTCCGTCTCCTCCAGGAGCAGCAGGAAGTCCGCGCCCGTCCGCCCGAGGAGCAGCTTGACCATCGGGCCCGCACTAGACCCTTGACGGCCGAGCGACGGCGGCGCTGGCGGGCGGTCCTGCTGAGTGCGAGGCTTGGGGCTTGCGAGGAACGGATCGCCATGAGCTCCGTTGTTGGGAGCCTTGTCGTCAGTCCAGAGGTCGAAGACCATGGTCGGAGAACGCGTGGCGGTTAACGACGTACGGGTTAACCCGTGAGCTGTTTACGACGAGGTGGTGCTGCTGCTGCGGTCCGTGGCGGCGCCGCGGTTCGTTCCGGAGCGCATTTTTCTTCCGGACTGCCGGAGCCGAGTTCAAAGTTTTCTTTCTTCTTCAACGCCGAAGCTCAAACGCTGGCAGGCCGCTCAGCTAGCTAGGGCTCGGCCGACCGTCGAATCTGGCGACTCACGACGGCGGGCGGGCCACCGCCCCCACCCTTCACTCTACAGCCCCGGCGCCCACGCCTCGACCTTCTTGGGCAGCAGCTGGTTCGACAGGTCCTCTCCGTGGCCTAGGCAGCCGTGTTCGCCCTGGCCCCAGGCGAAGACAGCGCCGTCAGCGGTGATGGCGATGCTGTGGTCGATTCCCGCGGACACAGCGACGACGCGCCGCCCTTCCAGCGTCTCGACCTTCTTCGGCAGTAGCTGGTTCTGCTCGTCGCCGTGGCCCAGCTTGCCAAAGGTTCCCTGGCCCCAGCTCCAGACGGCGCCGTCGGTGGTGATGGCGAGGCTGTACGCGGTTCCAGCCGACACAGCGACCATGCGCTGGTCAGCCAACGCCTCCACCTTCTTCGGCAGCAGCTGGTCCTGCCGGTCGCCGTGGCCCAGCTGGCCATCCTCTCCTTCGCCCCAGCTCCAGACGCTGCCGTCGGCGGTGAGTGCGAGGCTGTTGCCGCCTGCAGCGCTGTGGCCGCCTCCAGCTGACACAGCGACGACGCGGTGGCCGGCAAAGGCCTCGACCTTCTTGGGCAGCAGCTGGATCTGCTGGTCGCCGTGGCCCAGCTGGCCCCACTCACCAAAGCCCCAGCTCCAGACAGCGCCATCGGCGGTGATTGCGAGGCTGTGGGCTGCTCCAGCCGACACAGCGACGACGCGGTGGCCAGGAAAGGCCTCGATCTTCTTGGGCAGCAGCTGGTTCTGCTCGTTGCCGTGGCCCAGCGGGCCACAGTCACCAAAGCCCCAGCTCCAGACAGAGCCGTTGGCGGTGATGGCGAGACAGTGGTACGTTCCAGCCGACACAGCGACGACGCGCTGGCCAGCAAAGGCCTCGACCTTCTTTGGTTGCCACTGGTGCTGCCAGTCGCCGTGGCCCAACCGGCCAAAGCCTCCATCGCCCCAGCTCCAGACGGCGCCGTCGGCGGCGAGGGCCAGGCTGTGTTTGCGTCCCGCCGACACGCTCACGGCGCGCTCGCCGCCCAGGGAGGGGAGGAGGGTCGGCGTGTTGAGCTGCGTCACGCCCTCGCCGTGGCCGAGGAGGCATGGCTGCCCGCTCGCAGCCAAGCCGCACGACGAGAGCCGCCCCTCGCCGTCGATGAAGACGCTGTGAGACTGGCCTGCCGCCGCCCTCGCCGGCGGGTTGGCCTCGCGCAGCAGCGCAGCGAAGCACAGCCACCGCACGGCGCAGTCCTCGCCCGCTGGCTGCGCCGGCAGCTCGAAGCCGCGCTCTTGCGCCCACAAGCGGATGGCCTCTACCGCGAGCGAGGCGTAAAAGAGCAGCGAGACGGCCGCGACGCGAGCGATGTCGGCGGGGTCGCAGCGAGAGAGGGCGCGCACGAGGAGCTCCGTCGGGAGGTCGAGGAGGCGGGCGGGCGGCGGCGTGTCTGGCGGGGGCGCGGCGGAGGCGGCGCCGGCGAGGCGGCGCGAGCGGCGCGGTGGGGTGGACATCGCGAGAAAAGAATTTCCAGCGTCCACAAAAGATTTTTCACTGCTTTTTCGTTGTCAGATATAGATATATTATCACGATGCATCCGAAGGGGACCCCAGCGCCGGCATCATCCGTAGAGGCACGAGTGTTCGAAGAGAGAGTGGACCTGAGCAACGATATGACCTGGAGGCAAATGATCGGAGTGGGAGTCAGAAATGTGGTCCTTGCGCGAGGGGAGCTCGATAGACTCGAGGGGCCAGGATACGCCGCGAGGAGGACGGAGTTGCGCCGAAAGGCGAAAGAAAAGCCGCGAGAACAAGGGACCGGCAGGCGGCGGCGTCGCAGGACGAGGCAGAAGAGAACGACGCGACAGAGGAGGAAATGACAAGGGAGAGAACGACGAGAGTGGGACGACCGCGAGGTGGCATGAAGGTTGCAGCGAGAAGCGGCGAGAGACTGCGAAGAGAGATAGGAAGAGGCAGACTCCCTAGGGTGGGCGACGGCTAGCGCATCACACCCCTCTCCTTAAAATCCCTGTGTGGTGGCGGCGTGCCGTCCTCCCATCCCTCCCTTGGGTTGCGTGTTTTCTTTCTTTCTTTTTACTGCTTTTTCGCTCACATACCTCATACGCCCGGCCCCTCGCCCTCACCGCGGACCGCGCACACCCTCCCGACACACAAAAGAGTTTTGCGAGAGAAAGGCGGCAGAAACACAAGAAATTGCAACAGTGCAGTGAGGAGTTCAGGCCTGGGCCCGAGCCCCTAGTGCCAAACAAATCTAACACTCACACGTCATTTGGGGCCTGGAGCCCTGTTCACGCGCGCGCGAGACGTGCAGACAGGGTTGCCAGGTGAGAGCGAATGGCGCGGTTCACGCCTCGCACAACAGAGAGAGAGATGCGCTCTGCATGGTGGGACATAAAAGAGAGCGAGTACTTGGGCGAGTAGGCCGTGCGGTCGACGCTGCCGCGCGCGACTTTGCGCGCGAGGCGGCGCAGCTTGAGAACGGCGGTGGGCGAGAAGCCGCCGCCGAACGTCTCGTGGAGCAGCAGGTTGAAGTTGTTGCGCTTGACAAAGATCGCGTCGTGGTAGAAACCGCGATGCGCCTTGACGTAGCCGTGGCCGGTCTTGTGGGAGAAGGGTTGGCCGGGCTGCCCGCGCGCCTTGCAGCCCATGTTTAGGCGGCGGGCCTTCTCTTCGGTGTTACCAAAGGCGTAGGAGTGGCCAACGGAGGCGGGCGTGCCGCCACTCGAGGCGTTGCCAACGCCCGGCGAGGAGGTCTTGAGGAGGGGCGTCCAGAGCTTGACTTCATTCACGTCATCGCACCCTCCTGGGCCAGCGTGGGGTTCCGCGAGGTCGACCTTGTACCCCTCGTTGTACTGCCGGGTGAGCTCTGGTTTCTCCTTGTCGCCGTGCACGACCGGCGCGTTGGCCGGGGCGCGCATCGCGTCCGCCCAGGCGGCGAGGACGCCGTCGTGGGGCCGCCGGTGGTGGGCCTTGTTGTAAAGGTAGTCGCCGAAGAAATCGACTGGCATGCCCCGCTCGAGCGCGACCCGAAGGGTGGGAAGCGCCGCGGAGAGCCAAAGGCCGAGCTTTCGCTGGAGCTCGTCCTGGAGGGTGTCGGAGGAGAGGGCGGTGGCGTACGTCTCTCTCTCTCTAGTGCCTAGAGCGACAAGACAGTTGTTGTTGTTTTTACAGTTGTTTGGTATTGCTAAAAATACACACACACAAGACATCGCAGAGGGCGGTGAAGCGCGGTGGGGGGCCGAAGACGAAGAGAACGAGGCTGAGAGAAACTCCGCGATTTTTTTGTCCGCGAAAGGACACCCCGAAAAAAATCGAACGGCTCGGAGGACCCCACCGTCGCCCCCTGCGCCTTCCGTCACGTCTTCTTCTTCACAACGTGCCTCCCCGTCTTTGTTAGCTATTGTTGGCAAAACAAGACACAGAGCTCACACAGAATCACTTTGTAGTGGTGTTTGAGCCTCTATGAGAGTTAGGTTAGGTAGGAAGGTGAGAACAGGAGGAGTCTCTCAGTCTCTCAACGGCGCAAAGATAAAAAAAAATGGTCAGCACTCCCGCCACTTCGGCTTATCTGTGTTTTCTTTCTTTCTTTCTTTCATAGTACTAGCACGCGCCAGTTCGCACCTGTGTCGAGTGCTGTGAGAGAGAGTTGTCTTGTTTAAATTCTTTCTTTCGGCGCGAAAGCACGGGCTCAGCATCCCGCGAAAACTTCACCGCGAAGAATCGTGCGAAAGCATCGCGTCGATGGAGCTGCAGCACCCTTCCGACCTCAGCGCGTACGAGCTCGAGCGGCTCGACAACATCAAGCGCAACGCGGCCGTGCTTGCCTCGCTTGGCCTGGCCGACGGGAGTGGGCTCGGGAGCTCTCCAAGCGCTCGGCCGATCAAGCGGCGCAAGCCAGCTCAGGTGAGGCCTCTGGCGGCGCCCGAGCGGCGCAGCTCGCGGCTCGTCGACGGCGCCAAGGCCCCAGACTTTTACATCGCAAACGAGACGGCGAGCGGCAGAGTCACGGTTGGCGGGGACGCGAGGGCGCTCCAGCAGGCCACGCAAACCGCCACCGCCGCCGCTGGCGCAGATTCGATGGACCCGCTCACCCTGTTTGGGCTCGGCGCGATGCCCGAGGGGGAGGACGACCTGCTGGAGAGCGAGCGCGCCGCCTTCGCGAGCCTGCGCGACGCAAAGCGGGCCAAGGCGAGCGAGCTCGGCATCGAGGGCTACAAGATCGCACAGCACCGCTCGCTGGCCGAGGTGGTGCGGCGGTGCCCGACGGAGGTCGAGGCACTCCGCGCTTGCTGGGGCTTTGGCGGCTCGGGCGTCCGCGTCGACAAGTACGGCGCGATGTTTCTGGAGGCGCTGATGCCACACGTCCCGCGGCTCCGGCGGGCCCACGCGGCTGCAAAGGCGGAGTACGAGGCGGCGGAGGAGGCGAAGGGGTCGGAAGAGGGGGAGGCGGGCGGCGACGGGGCGGAGGGCGGCGGCGGGGAGGCGGGGGAGGGGAGGGGAGGGGCCGACTCGGTGGCGGCGGCGGCGAGGCCGTTTGGGCAGATGCCCTCGAGCGCGAGCGAGCTGCTTCCGGGCGAGGCTGCCGTGTACGAGGCTTTAATTGGATTTCTTTAATCAATTTAATCTTTAATTAATTTAGGCGAGGCTGCCGTGTACGAGGCGCTCATCGCCGCGACGCACGCCAGGGCGGAGGAGCTCGGCGAAGGCTACGTCTGGAGCATCGCACCGGCGCGGTCCGTGTGCGAGATGGTGCGGCGCGCGCCAGCGAGCATGGAGGAGCTGCGGTCCGTGTGGGGGTTTGGCGGAAAGGGGTTGCGCGCACAGCGGCATGGCGCGCCGCTCCTCGTGGGACGGCTTGCCCGGCGTGACACGGTTGGCTGAGCGTGAGGGGCAGCGGTAGGCGACTTCCTCCTAACGGCGCTGGCGCCGCACCTGCCATCGCTCCGGGCGCTGCACTCTGCGGCGGGCGTGGCGGCGGGCGAGGCGGCGGGCGAGGCGGCGGGCGAGGCGGCGGCGCATTTGTCGGTCGCCGTCTCCGGCCCGGAGGTCTCGCGCCCTGAGAGGGAGGGCAGCTCCGTGGGGCAGCGCCGCGTGCGCGCGACACCGGAGGCGGCCTCCGGGCAGCGGGAGAGCAAGTGGCGGCGCGGCAACAAGCACGCGGCGAGCGCTTGGGACGCGGCGTTGTCGGCGATGCAGTCGGTCGACCCGGACGACGGCGAGGTGGCGGCGGTGGCGGCGGCGGCGGAGGAGGAGGAGGAGGGAGGCGCCCGCAAGGTGAGGGGGCGGGGCACACCGGGCTCAAAGCCCAGAGCGGTTGACTGCGATTCGCGGCGGACGACGCGCGCGGCGAGCAAGAAGTGCAAGTCGAGGGTGTGACGACGCTCTCGGCGGCGGCGGAAGACCGGAGAGCTGCACGGTTACGGGGTACGTTCTTTTTGCGAGGCGGTATCGGGTGGATTGGGGTATAGTGTTCGTTGACGGCGCGCGGCGAGGTCTATGCTTGAGCGTGGGAGCCCGGCGCGGCCGGTGGAAACGCTGAGAAGTATGTTGGCTTTTAGTACATGGGTCACTAATACGGAAAAAAACTCGGACCCACGAAGACAAGGAGCGCGCGCCAATGGCCGCCTCCGTGACACTCCCACCTCCTGTGGGCCGGCGCGGGAGTTTTACTGCCGAGTTTCTCCCGGCCGGCCGCCTCCTGACACGCCCACTGACCGAGCCCATCGAAAAAAATTCGGCGCGCCGCACTGCTCTGACCCCTGCTCGCCCCTGCTCGCCCCTGCTCGCCACTGTCGCCTCGGTTGCCGAGGCTGCCGCGCACCCGCGCGCTACGCGACTACGAACTGCACCAGCTGGGCTCGAACCAACGACCAAAACGTCCCCGACCCGAACGCTGCACCAACTAGGCCACACCGCAGGCTCGATATGCAATACGCACAAAACTGGCCGCTCATAAAGCACTACTCATTTGCCGAGGCACGCGGCGCCCCTCCACAGCCAGCCTACCCTCCTATCGCGCCACTCGAAGCCCCGCGGCCGCCTCTCGCCTACCGCGCTGCCCTCGCCTGCCACCGCACCGCCCGCGCTCCAGCCTAACCAGCTCTGCATCTCGCAACACACACTTGACAGGGACAGACCAGGCGCAGGAAAAGGGAGCGGGGCCCGAATCCAAGGGACCACCCCGTCGGGCGGAGGAGCTGTGAACTCAGGTCCAGCAGGAAGGCTGCTGGCTCCTGACTCATCCCCCAAATCCCCCACACCTTGGCGGCCTGAAACCTTACCATTCCGACACCTCACACACACCCCTCCCCTAGGGCTAAGCAGTGCGCGAGCCCACCCGACTTCAGGCGAGACGTTGACCACTCCTTTGGAACAGTTCTGTCAGTGGCTGCACTAGACGCCCACAGAGGCGCGCGGCGCGGGCAGATGACTAGGGGAGAAAAAGCGGAGAACCTAGCTCGCTGGGAGACGTGCGCAACCTAAAGACGGGAATAGGGGAGAAGTGTCAGTGTGAGGGGAGGGCGTAGGCTGGCGTTTTTGCCTTTGAAAACTGAACAGTTTTTTTTGGGTCACTAATACGTAATGGAGGTCCCCACATACGGTGGTTACCACCTTGACCTTCGTACACAAATCTCAAATGGAAATACTGTCGCGCTTGTGAGGTGTTGAGCTTGAGGTGGCCGCGGCCGCGCGGGATGCAAGCTTCGCCATGCACGCGCCATGGGAAACGACGTGCATCACTCCCGGGTGCACAAACGCTGCGCACGGCCGCACCGAACGCCCAAAGGACTCGGGCCCGCCCGCTTGTATGTTCCCACTGGCTTTCACCTCTCGCATCATTCCATGGCGGAAATTGCTCCCGACGGCGCTGGCTGCGATGCGGCCGCGGTCGCTGGCAACACGCCCGCGGCGGGCTCGGGCGCAGCAGCCTCGTCGGTCGAGGACGGCAGCGAGCCAGGGGCGAGTGGCGCGGCGGGACTGCCGTCGACGCCTGCGGCGTGCCTGGGCTGGGTGGCTGGAGCGGGCGCCGCAAATGCAGGCGCAGCCCCCGCATCGCTCGAGCTCTGCCCCGGCTCGGAAGGGCGCGCCTCGCCCGGTTCGGTCCGCTGGCGCTTCGACGCCTCCGCCTGCAGGGTGGGGCCGGCCTGTCTGGCGTGAGCGGGGTGCGGGCCAGCCCGGGCGCTTTGCCGGGCGCCGCTCGCGCCTGCGCGTCCTCGGCCGCGCACCGCTGCAGGTGGCTCTTGAGCGAGTCGGTGAAGCCTCTGAAGCCCAGCGTGTTGAGCACCGCAAGCAGATCCGCCTCAGTCACCGCGTCGCGGCCCTCGCGCGCCACGCGCTGCCGGGCCTCGCTGACGAGCAGGCTGAGGAACTCGCCGGTACAGACCTGGACCGCCTCGACGGCGTCCTCCGACAGGGCCGCCCGCGGCTCAGTGCTGATGGTGTGCGCCATGACGTGGCGCACGCCGCGGATGGGAAGAGACATCGATGGCTCGGCGTTCTTCGAGACTCTTGTATTTTTTTGCGTTGGAGAGACTCTTTTCCGCATCTCTTGGCTGATTCTGACCTCACTCATCAGAGGGTCCCGGCTGAGCGCTGGGGGAGAGTGAGAGGATGAGAGTGTGCGCTGTAGAGATCCAAAAAAAGATAGGCTGCAGCGCTGGATGGAGAGCGCTGGATGGAGCGCGCTGTAGAGCTCTACATCCGGCGCGGGACAGACTGCGTGCGTTGTAGAGCGATGTAGACGGAAGACGCGAATTCACAGTGAATTGACAGTGAATTCACTAAGTAAATCGCGCTCTACATGCGCTCTACAGCGGTCAGCGCTCGCGAGTTTTGGCATCCCTAGAGCTAGACCCCTACTGGGCAGCCTCGAGGGCGAGCGACACGGCAGCCGCTTCTCCCGCGCGCTACTCGCTCGTGGCGGCGCCATGCCTGACCCTTCCCAAGCTGCTACGAACGAACGAGTCCGGAGCCTGACTTGAGCACTTGAGCACTGGATAGGGCCGATTCCGCGTGGTACGGGACCCCTCGATCGTCTCGCCCTCCCTCACTGACGCTGAGCGCGGCGGGGCCGCACCGGCCGGGCGAGGCTGACTGACCAGGCAGCCTCCCCCGCGTCTGCGCCAGCGCCAGGCTGGTTCGGGAGAAAAACTACTACAACTGTATGTGGAGTCTGTGGCACCTCCGGCACACCCTCCCTGGCAGCGGAGAGCCCCGAACCCTGGGATTCGGCGTTAGGGTGCTGGCGCGACATGATTTCAGCCTTTCCGCGATTTCGGCCCGCCGCTGACGCGCGCAGTCGCATGCAGCTGCTGGGCACGGACGGCGCCGGCCTTCCCATTGTACTAATTCGCAACTATGACGGAAAACGGGGCGACGCCCTCGCTTCCGACGTCGAGAAGGCGCTCGGGATCCACATGGTGCACCAGGACCCGCAGCGGAACATCAGCGGGTGCGGCGGTGCGGCGCAGACCGATGCGCCGTCCGACAAGTACCAGATCATCAAGGGCATCATCAACTACGAGTTCGTGCACGGCGAAGAGTATGTGGACAGCTGCAAGGCGCTCGATATGGCGGGTCGCGATTTTGTCGCGAACGCGCTCTCCCTCATCGAGCCCCACCTGTGCGAAGCGTCGACTCTCGCCGCACTGCCCGCCCTCGACGCGCTGCCGACGACCGCCAGGCCGCTCGGCAAGGACTCGGTCGACAAGGACTCGAAGCCAAGCCGTGTCGAGACGCAGGTCCTCTCGTACCCGGCCGGTACGGCTGAGGTAGGCTACCACCCGCACGTCGACAAGACGGGCACGCGCTGGGTCGCCCTCGCCAGCCTCGGCACCGCGCCGTGCGACTTCTTCTGGGACATCGCACGCCCGGACAAGCAGCGCAGGAGCTGCGCCGCCGGCTCTTCAGGGTTCAACGCCGGCTCCTGCGAGCGGTGGGACCCGGACGCGGCGTCGCGGCATGGCAGCAAGGGGCGGCCGACCAAGCTCAAGGGCGGCAAGGCCGCCGATCGCGTGCCGTGCCGCAGCTGCCGAACGGTGACGATGGCGCCCGGCGACGTGCTCGTCTTTTGCGGCGAGCCCTTCTCCTCCCGCGTCGTGCATGGCGTGGACTCGGTCGGCGCGTCCGACCCGCTGCGCGAGGCCGCGGTGAACGCCGCCGGGCTGGGATGGCTCCGCGGCCGGCGCATCTCTTTGCTGGCGCGCGGCGCGAACCACCGCGAGCGCATCGTCGAGTACGACCAGATGCACGAGCACTGCACCGCAGAATACCTCCAGAGGGTCCTGCCCGGCGAGGTTCTCGCGTCCGAGCTGACGCGTGCGCGGCAACGCGCGCTGGGCGGCGGCGGCAGCGGCCGCGGCGGGTGGCGGCCACCCGTGGTCACCCTTGGCGTCCCTCTTGAAAACCTCAACTGCTTTTTCTAATTATTATCACAATTATTTGCCTGGGAAGCATAATGCCTTAATCTATTTCCTTAACTAGATGTTATATCCTTGCCCAGATTGATGCTCTGGATTTGCACCGTCATGTTAACATGGCCTATCTTGGTTTT